TGGAAAATAACCTCTAACACCTCCAAAAGGCCTTTTTCTTTCTTTTTTTTTTTTTTTTTCTCTCTCTTTTTTTTTTTTTTTTCCCCCTCTTCTTTTTTTCCCAGCAAACATTTTCCTAAAGACCTAGAGCTAATCTCCCTTTGGTGGCCAACAATGACATGCTACAAAGTAAGTTTTGGCATTTTGTGTGACAGACCTGGAAAACAATTTTGCAGTATTATTCTGGACTTCACTAAGTCTGGTCTGATATGTCAGACAACTCCATTAGCAGTAATTTTCAGATTCTGGGAAGGTTACTGAAACTCAAGTTTGAAGGATACACATAACCTTTGTTAAAGTGCAGCTTGACTTTTTATCAGACATAATCCATATAATGCCAAGCCTCAGTCATTGTTTTTTCTTTTCAGTTTCTTGGGGAGCCTAACTTCAAGCATTTCCTAAATTTTGCATCTGAAAATCCTATATTTTCAGAAGCAAAAAGGTCCTAAATTGGGCCACTTGGTTCTGTTTTGTGTCACTGAACATTTTCCTTCGAATTACCTCTTTTAGATAAAGATGGCTGTTAGGAGCCAAAAAGCATCTGTAGTTTCCTATGCCTGCCCACCTTATTTCAAGGGACATGAACAACTGCCCAGGATTCAATAATACACCTGGCAGGCACTAAACCTCTTTGGCTGGAAAAGCTCCATGGACATTCCAAAAACTTTTAAATGAAATTCTCTGTCCTTTTCTTTTTTTCTTTTTATTTTTTAAATTAAAAAAGAAAGAAAAAAAACCCCTATTACCTCATTAGAAACCAGAAGAGCAGGAAACATCTTTATATTTCTCAAATACTGCCAAGAATGGATAGGGTCTTTTAATTAACATCTAATACAAATGCAAATAAATAATCATTAGTTGAAAGTGCTTTTTACAGACATACATAATGTCAAGAAAGTAGCACAGATGTTTGTATTATGTGACCAAGGAAAAAAAGGAAATACTAAATAAACACAAATAAAATACTAAAGCAACCAATGCATGAAGTTCAAAGCTATCAATGCTCTGAACAAAATTGCTTTTTTTTTTTTAATTAAAAATATCAGTACAAATCATTGCTTGTAAGAACTGAAGAGTCAGTAAAGCATTAGATGGAAAAACAGACCCTTCTATTCAGTATTCAGCGGAAAGATTCAATCACAGAGTTATGTTAGAGAAATCAATAATCAGTGTTTCATTTCCACTAGAAACAAAATCCTGGATGTATTTGCAATGTGCACTTCAGCTGTTAACACTGAAAGATCTGAAGATGAAAATAACTGGTGCAAGGAAACAAAACCAACAAGTGAATCCTTTAGCGAAACCATTGGCGAGGAGAAGAGAGCACCCATCAACCTCGTCCATCCCAGGGCAACACTAGGCAGCAGAGTGATCAGACTGACTTCTGACTTGCCCCCTTTTACTGGCAGGGGAAGAGAGAGGCAATGAACCCTAGCAGTACACATCATCTGCTTCTTCTCTTAAGCTCCTAGGAAGGCAGAAAAATTATCAAGGATGTAAGGGAAACATCAATAAACAGATGGTCAATAAGTATACTTAGCATTTATTTTTCTCTTTAAAGCTTTGAAAGGAAGCATTTTGTAAAACACTACCAATACCATTGAGATGAGGAAATGCTCATAGAGGTTGATCTTTATCTGCTGCAAAAATATGGAAAGTATATGCTAGAATATTCTTGAATTTGCAAGTATTAGAACATAAACAGTACTTGTTAGGTTTTCATTTATTACATTACGTCTCACAGATGATGTATATACAAGCTCCCGAGAAACTGCACTTCATTTGGTATTGACTTAATGAAGGAATTCTCACATTAATCTTTTAAGCTGTACTGCCCTTTAGAAAAACAGACTCTGTGGAAAAGAAAACCTCCATAAATCTCTTCAGCCCTCTCCACAAAAATAGACTTTTGTAGGCCAGCGATTTTCTTTGCACCTTTTCTTGTGGAAACAATTAGCTTACCAATTTTAAAGTATTAGGTGGGCCAGCTGCTGGCTTTCCCTTTACCTGAGAATGTCTATGCAGACAGAAACAAAGATCTAGTGTCATGCTACTACAGTACATCAGTATGATAAACATAAGCAGGCAAGGTCTTGCCTATACATAAGAGGTTAGGTCTTGAAGAAGCTTTCACTCACTTGCAGTCATCATAGCACTCTTTAATGCCTAATTTGTTTCTACAAAATCTTCATTATCTCAAAGACAAAACGTTGCATTGCATCAAACTGTCAGAGATACATTCATTCCTTTGAACTTCAGAGAAGCCTAATTGGTCTTTTGGTGATTTTTCCGAAATTAAATTACAAAGTCAGGCCTGTTCTTACTACTTTTCTGCTGTGAATGTAATAACCTAAATTCACACAAAAGTCTCAAAAGTTGTCCTAGACTGGAGAAAAGTCTGCCATCTGAACAACACTGATTTCATTCAAATGACTGTTTTGAACGTTTACTGAAGGCATGACATCCTATTCCAGACAGCACGTGCATTTCTCCAAAAGGATCTTGAGGTTAATTTATAAACTTCCACTTTACTTAATGTGATACACAGTTAGCATTAATATTGATTTCTGCCCTAGCTGTACTGTCTAACCTGAAAAAAATAGTTACTTGGCTACTCACATTGAAACTACCATTGATGTAATTGGCAAGAATATGATCACTAGTGTAGCAAACAATGCTAAATTACAATGACAGTAATTTAAGGTCACCTATATCTTCCTATCAAGAACATTTAATGTGGCTAAAAGTCCTATAGCTATAATATGTCTGACCTAAAGCAAACAGAAATCTTTAATAAACCATATTTTTGAGAGTTTTTACAGGATACAGGAACACCCTTCAAAACAAGGTCAAGGATGTTTCTCTTCCCATGTGGGTAGATAAAAACATAGTATTAAGAACGGCACAGTATAAAAATGAAAGGATTCATGTATAGATCAGTCTTTTCCTTCTAGTTGTCTGTACAAAGCCAAATAGTTAAAATTATTCCTTTCTAAAATAAATGAAGCTATCACAAAAATTTCATATTAAATCACTTTATGCAGGGCTGCTTTAAAGGTAGCAGTTTCACACAGCTGTGTTGCATGTTCATGTAAATGATGAATCAGAAGAAAATTTAGCAGACACCTAAATTGTGACCACTGTCACAAGATCTATTTAAAAAAAAAAAAAAAATAGGTGCAAACTTCTTTACAGCTGGTTGTGCAAATGAGCATCTTGGTGGGCTGGAATCCTGCAATAATTCCTAAAATTGTCTAAGTACAATAAGGACGGCAATCTTGATAAACTTGAAGGACCTCCTTAAATTGCATCCACAACATCTACATAAACAAAACAAAATGAAGCTTGCAGGAAGAAAGTGTAATGCCTGGGTGCAATTTTGAAGGCTGTTCTGATAATTTCATTCAAAATATGTTGTTTTACAAGACATTATCGCTCAACCTAACAATTATTTCTGCACAGTTATCTGTGTGTTTAACACAGAGTAATAAGCCAGATGCTTCAAATTAAAGAATTAAAAACCTACTCCAGTACATCATTATAAACATTGAAATAGGTTTTGTTCTTAGATGCAAAGAGTATTAAACTATGAAAGTATATTTATTCTACTAAATATAAGCATACTAGATGAGAACTTTGAAATTTAATTCTTCAGTCATCCAAATATTTACATGACAGTAAAATACAAAGAGTTTAACTAAAAACAGTCGCAGCACAGTAGCAAGTGCAAATGCCAAAGCTTTGGATAGAAATATGATTTCCTTCTATTACCTTAATTCAAGTTGAAAGTAATTTCTGCTCATGTCAATAGTTTCTGTGAAATATTTGTATTTAAATAATAAATACTGGCCCGTGTGGTCTCCTGTTGCTCTCTCGAGAATAGAGAATGGTTATTCTGAACTATCATTGCAAAGTCAAGCAAATATTTTCCTAAAATATTCAGGACTTTTTTTGTTTGTTTGTTTGAATAGATTATTTACAGGACAGCTTAGTTATCTTTAATGAAAGGTCCTGGCATGAAAATTCTAATAACTGCAGGATATGAAATTTGACAGATCTTACTCCCAGTGTTGTCACAGTGTTGTGCTGAACGAATAAGGAAAAACTAAGCTATTGCTCCACAGAGAAATAAAAATATATCTTACAGCCTAATTGTTCTCTGATTTATGTTAACTTTTCCCCTGTTTTTCTATCTACTTAATGGAGTTACTCGTGATTCACCAGAGCAAAGGTGTCTACTCATGAAAGAGTAATCAGATACTCCCTAACCAAAATGTTAAGCAGTTAGGGGGGAAAAAAAAAAAAAAAAATCAGGAAATTCTCTTTTCATAATGCAACGTGCAGTGGCATACAAGGAATAAAGAGTACCTGTTTTTACAGTTGTATCCTGATTAACACAGCTGTTCTATTTCATCCTAAAGCTTACCATCACAGTTCAATTGTTAAGGCAAAAGTTGTTGAAGTTGATTCACCTCACTGGCATGTTGCTCTAAAAAGTTGCCATTTGCATGAACTTCCCTGCATTTATTTATTTGTTACAAACTGCATTTCCAGCTTGCTTGGACAGAAATATTTAAGTGTAAGGGAGAACTTCAGAACTGAGACTCAAAAAGTTCTGCTCAGCTGTTACTTGACAGAATATACTTGGTTTCATGGAAAAGTTTGTGTAATTCTCAAGCACAACTGTAACTTCGGTGAGAAACGCGTCAACTTTTAAGGTAGAAAATGGAAGACAGCAGGAACAACATAACCAAGAAAGGGAAATGCAGAGGACCTGCACAAGAAAGGTTCTGCAATATCTGCGTATACACTTGTGATTGCAGCAGAGGTCGGCATAAATGCAGTCGCATTAGATTTGTAAGGTCAGTGTAAAAACAGATACGTAGTTGAAGAGACGTCAAAGTGGATGCAGAACTTCGAGTTATATTCAAACCCTTTACGAGGCTTGTGCAGCCCACAATGAAATCCGTGCTCCTCTTTACTGAAAGTGCAAGATCAAGGTTAGCAGAACAGATTTATCATGCTATAATAACTGCTCCAAATTCAATGCAGACAGGCTCTATGCCTTGAGGGAGTAAGCGAGAAGAATCAACCCCCATTGACTTGCATACGGAGCGTTCCTGTACCCAAATCAACTGCCAAGAAGTAACTCCTCCAACTGCAGCAACATCATCCATTAGCAAATACCATGAACTTGATCTCATTCTTTGCAATGCTTTTGCCTTGTGATATGAGCAAACAATCTACCTTAACAAAAAAAAAAAAAAAAAAAGAAAAGCAGTTTTCTTTGCATTGAAGCAATGCAAAGAAAACTTGATACAACTATCAATTCACCTTCCAAACACTCAGTGACTAGATAATAATCATTTATCCTCTCCTAACTCATTCTCACAGCATGAGTACTAGATTTCATTTTCAAATGTCTTAAGTAACTATATCAACTAAATCTTGGCATGTCTAGCAGCTGCCTAGAAAGTTACATTATAATATTTTTAATGAAAAGAAAGAAAAAAAAAACCCTGCAAATCTGTAGCAAGATGCTGCTCTGCAGCATATTTCCTCATAACACAGCATGATCTTCCAGGTCTCCATCCCTCATTTCCTTCAGTTTTTGAACAGCTCACACAGAATCTTTAAAGCAGCAATCTCTTTCCCAGGGCTTCACGAAATTCAAAAGAATTTTAAAAATTCTCAGCCTGCCCAAAGGGTATACAAGCCTACAATGCAATGACTGACACTTGACATTACACACTCTATACTTGACATCTCATTAGCAAGAGATTAGCAAGCTCTGATATTTATTAGCAGTGGGAGTTCCACATGAATTAACTCTTGAATATTTATTTTGAGCTTGGTAAATTATGTAGTCGGTGTTCAAAGCCACATTATCACGAGTAGACCAACAGTAATGCTCGAGTTAGCTAGTTTAGGGTTAGCTGAATTGTAGAAGTAATAGTAACATGCTCATAGGGACCTCACAAAATCTGGCACAAAATTCAAGACTCTTCCTGCTCTTGAGGCTTCTTCATAAATATAACTTTTCCTGCATCATCTAGCCTTCTTGATAGCACTTATCTTAGTCTGATTGACTTTTGCAAACAATTTACCTGTAACGATGGCTGTTCGACTACAGCACCTCAGAGAAAACTTTTGCTTCTTCCTTTTTAAATAAGCTATTCCCACCGTTTCCTACTGAGACCTTGGCAAAGTTAAACCACAATCTTTTCTAATACGTCATTTTCCCCTTCCCCCCTCTCCTCCCTTGCCTGTGCAGTTGCTCTGAGGAGAACAGCTTCAGCTTTGTTCTAATCTAGCCTGCTGCATCAGTGGTAGAAAGCAGTGTTTACCATTATTTCTGATGCAGAAATCTGTGTGCTCCCACTGACACAACTTCATTACTCCTTTTTGCACTAGACTGTGTCTAACTATTAATAGTCTTTAACCTGCACAAAATTTTGCTGCTAAGATTTTATCTGGCACCAGATGGAGCAAGTACGTAGCTACACTTCTCAGCTTCAATGGACAGTAGTCCATTAGATTCAGATGTTCTCCTATGACCTAGAGATTTCTTTGGAACAATATGACTCAATCAGCTCATTTTATTGTTTTCATTTCCACTTTCTGCATAAGTAACAGCAGTTACTAGAGATGCTTCATTTCAGATTCCCTATACAGATATACCAGCTATTCAGACCATCCTTACACAGCTACATCCTTACACAGTTGAAGAGATCTCTTCAGTTTTTAGCTACTTGGTGTTACAAACTCTGTTATTAAATTCTGTTTATAAACTGGAGGGGCTTTGTAAAGAACATCGAGAAGGTTTTGCATGGCTATCAGTTCAGCTGATACAGCCCCATGAAAAACTCAAAGATATTTAAGGCAAAACAAACGTTCTTTGAGGGCTCAACTCAACCATCATGGTCTTGCTCCAGTCTCCGGTAACTGAGCGAGAACTCGGGCCAAAAAAAATCATGTTCAGAAAAACACTGCAAGGCTGTGATTTCATTCCTAGTGTTACCTTATGGTTTAAGTAGCTCCCTTGGCTCTTACACTTGTAGCAATTAGAATTTCCAGACAGCTCAGTGGCAGATATTCTAAGCTTTCTCTATATTGCAGCATTAACTGGCAGATGGCAGCCAATTCTTACCATGAATGAATTAAATTCACTGGTATAACATGCAGCTGTAAACCTAAAGACTAATTGAAAGCTTTCAAAATTTTCATTTTGCCTTTTATAGAAAGTTGCAAAGCATCAACAACAGCCAAACTACATGAGGCAGGTCTCAGCTTTTCTATCACGGCGTGACTTGCAGTAGGATATGCAGGTCCCCACGGTGATGTTTCTGGATTTTGTGAATATTTTGTACTGTTCTTCTAAGCCTTTCCTCTTATGCTAGTCTTTTCAGTCATGAGGTTATTTAAACACAGAAGAATACTATCTATTGAATAGATTTTAAATTTCCACGCTACCTACTTGATCAGAAGAATGGAGCAGCAAAGGACTGATTACAGTACGTTCTTCATCCATTCAGTCGTCTGAAGATGGAATTTTATCATGATTGTATCCTACACAACAGATATCTCTTTCCATCACAAGAAAAGTATTTAATATACCCATATTGCAAAAGTTAAACTGTGTGTGTCAAAACAGACAGCTTCTCTTTGTATGACCTAAAGTCCATGGCAACTGCAGCTAATTAATAGTTTGAAAAAAAATCACAGCTCTAGGCCTCCTGTATTTTTGGTGATGTTTCCCGCGAGCAGACATTCATTTTGAAGTTTAAAGTTACAATGTGGTATTGCTATGCATTGCTGCATTATATATTTCTTGCCTGCCTACTATTAAAAATCCACTAATATAAATCCTGCCATTACAATTAAATATATATTACAAATGCAGGACTGCCTGTGCAAGAGTTAGCTGAGCAAAGAAGCAATTGGATGCATTTTACATGTGTAATTAGCTGATGCATACAGACTTTTTGTCTGCCTCTGATTACTGTTGACTACAGCCTGTATGCTCTTTCTGTTCTTCTTAACGTAACCTCAACACCCATCTATAAGGAAAACACCTGCTTTAGTAGCAATGCTCAAATATATTTAAAATCTAGTGTTACACAAAAATCTAAAGGACATAACACATAGTGAGGGGAAAGAAAGGGTGAAGTGAAACTTGGTAAACAGAATGGGAAACGGTTGTAGTCATAGCCCGAGAGCTTTATTAAGCAAGCACTTTATTAAACTGCAATGTACTACTTTACTGCTTTTAAAATATGTTAACACTATATCACAGTTCCCAGCAGCATGAAGTCTTTCCAGAAAATGTGTCATCACTGTATGTAGCATGTTTTATAACCAGTATAATTCTGTTTTATTATATCCAATAATATTTTTTCTGAAATTCTAGGAAGTCTTCCCACAAAAGATAAGTAATAACTGTATTTTAACCAACTGGCACTAAGTATACCCGCCTTAACACAGAAAAAAAGTAAGTTATTACACTAGAATGTCCTTAGCTTCATTTTTCCTCCTCACAAAGAGTTAGGAAATAAAATCCTCAAGTATCTCATTCAAATATTAAGTAGCACAAAGCCTTTCAACAATGAAGTATTTTAATTCCATGACTGATCTCTGCATTTAACTATTCTCGCTGAAAGTAGCTGGCAAAACTCAGAATCTTACACATTATGCTATTTAACCAAGAAAAAAAAGAAAATTATCCTAACAAAGCCAAAAATACACGTCCTTTGTTTCATGTATCCACAAATATTTGGCAAAAGAAAAAAAAATGCCTTGTGCATGTGAAGTACAACAGAGTAATTTTCTTCGCTTACCAGGCTTGGATTTCTGCTTTGCGATGTGCCTGTGGTTGGTAAAGGTTGCTCCGGTGCCCGGTACAATTGTTCCCTCCTCTAAGTCCGACTCTGGGATTGTAGTACAGCCACCTAGTTGAAATGCAAGAATGTAACGGTGTTTATGTAACAATACAAGTTCATCAGTGCATGAATACAGGAAAGAGATAAATTAACTGGTATGAAATCCTGATTCATTTCAAGCTTGACAAAAAAAAAAAAACTGTGAAGAAAAACTATTACTATTGTTTAGATTACTGATTATGACTTCTATTATTTCAAACTTTTTCAAAAAAAAGTTTGTATGAAGCATACAAAGCATGCAAAAATAATTTCTGAATATGTTCAATCAGTGTTGAATTTAAAAGATGAAAACAGTTTGATCTGTGCTAAGAAACAGATCATTGGGAGCTAGTTTTATAATAAAAATAATTAAATGTGAATGAAATAATACAAAGTCCACAAAGCTTATGAAGGCTGTTAGCTTGCCACAGAGAATGGCACATGGCGATTTGTTTGGATAGGCTATTAAATACATTGCTTTTATTAATTAGCGATAGAGATATGGAAACACAAGGACTATTCAGTTGCACACTGCATTGGTCGTGCTTTTATTCTTCATGTGATCTTAGAATATACAAAATAACTGTTTCTTCATATTTTGCAGTATTACTTTCTAAGCAACTTACTATAGAGCACAACGATGCACAGCTTTCTCTTCAAACATGCTTAAGTGATTATTTCTAAGAACTGAAGAAAGGCACAGTCTAGTACTACTAGGAGTAGAAGACAGCTGGAGTGGTTTGCAATGGGTGATGTAAATTTGCTGCAAACCAGCTGGGATCAGCACTCCAGGGAAAAGTGTGACTGTTCCACGCCAGAAACAAGACCTTGCTGATAATACAGCATATAGGCCAAGTCCTTAGCTTGCCATAGTTGTGATCTTTTCAGAGAATGGCAATGAAAGTTTTTGTCAGATCTAGATGGATTTCAAAGAAAGGAGCAGCTTGTTAGCCCAGCTTGAAGACCATGTCTTCCTTAGCACATTTGTCCATTAATTCATATTTTTGCATCTTTGTTTAAATATTCTTAGGAGCTCTTATTACAGCCTGAAACTTTGCTCAGCAGTTTCAGATTAGCACTTGATCAAAATCCCTATAAAGTGCGTAAAAAGCTCTATGTCCAGCTGCAAACAAATATTCACCTGCTTTCAAATTCAGCTCTTATTTAAACATTTTGTTGGTCCAAGAGCCAAGTTTACATCTCATTCTGTAGTTCTCCCGGGATTACCACTAGCAAACAATAAATCTATTTAACCTATTTATTGTCTTCTGAAATTATGTGCTTATCACAATTTCAGATATTCAGGGTACCCACTATGAAGTGGATAATCAGGATAACGTGCATAATATATTCTATATTCCTAATAAAATACTTGAACACTGTGGTAATTTCTGACACTCTACATGGACCTACACCCTAAATGAAAATAAATAATAGCAAAATAATATTTCTGTTCCCACTTGCAAATTGTGACTAAATGTAAACTATGAGATTTGCTGAAATATAAACCACCTTTAAAATTCCATTTAGATATTATTCATTCTTTTCTTTTCAGATAAAATCTATCCTATTAAATAGAAACCTGTAAACATGCGATACATTAAGGGCTCTTACACAAAAGAACTACTAAGAATGGTATCATATTTTAAAACAATTTATAACATTTGATATCAACTATGAGTGAAAATTCACTTAGTCTATTAATATGTGTTGAATTTCTGCATACAAACTTTTACAAGAATTACTCCAAAACCTGAAATTCCTAACTTAGCTAGCCTTAAGAATTACTAGCTTTTCATGTTAACAGTAACTGAATAAAGCTTAGGAAAGGTCTATTTGCCCTTAGGTATACCACACTACTTTCTGAAAGGAAGTATGATTTCCTGCTCTCAAATTTGAGGTGAGAGATTTGTTAAGATTTACTTTCCAACTAACATGATCAGAATGTACCAAAACTAAAAGCAAAATTAACCTTGTGCGTAACATTATTTTCTCTATTTTGAGGATTGAAATTTTACCCGTGACAGACTACTTTACATACAAAGAAAGCGCAGAGGGACTGCACGCAGCAATACTAACAGCATTACTTTCAATATTTTGAGTAGTAGCTACTTTGCTAACATTAATAGTTGGTCCACCTGATTGTTTTTAAATGCTGTTATTCCATTTATTCCATTCCATACATTTACATTCAACATCCTGACATCAGTATTCTCAGTGTGGCTAGATTTCACAGGGACCCTTGCTCCAGTAATTATTTCAATGAACTTCCAGATAAGAAAGAAATATAATAGCAATAATTTTATTGTTTTTTTAGGATATGAGGTATGTATGATCCAGATCTTTCAGACCATGAATTTTCTGACCTCCTCTTCCCATACCACTATTTTGTTCTAACTGCAATTAGAGTCTGCTGGACTAGATGCCTTATATTATCCAGATGTTCAGAGCCAGGCAGGATGACCTGGACCCCCATACGTGCATAATAAATTGTACACAGAAATGCAAGGGACGTCAGCTGCTGCTACTGAAATCAATGGTAAATTCCACTTTCATACTTCAATAGGCACAGAAACCCAAGCTCATGATGGATAGCACCAGCAACTGCTGCGAGCTCCCAAAGGAAAGGAGGTATAGTGGATACAAGGGAATTGTCATGTTCTGGAGAAAGAATGGGAAGATTGGGGAATAAGGCACAAATACACACCTGTGAATACAACATTTAAACCACATTATTCAGTTGGGATTTTACCATTCAAAAATATTTCATAATTCAGAAAAGTTAAATGAAATGAACTCATTCCTTTTAGAACGCTAGATGTTTTTTTCAACTGCATGCTGCCATGTTCTACTGAGAGTAAAGAGACTCAAGGACTAACAGAATTTTAGGTGAGAATCCACTCTGGATTCTTGTGCATCTCTGTCGCCATATCAAAAAGTACTTATTGGGTGTCCTGTTTAGCAATCACTTAAAATTTTTATCCCTCTGGAGTCCCATGAAACTCACAATGGCATAATCACTGACATTCACTGATAATTATTTAAGTGAATGCTACGGAGCAGGGAAAGTGAAATATTTAAGGGAAAAAAAAAAAGGAGGGGGCAGGGAAAGAGGCAGGAGCAGTACATAAATCTACGAACTGGAAATGATCCAGGTTGAGAATTTCTCCAGATGTCAGTCTGTAAACAGTGCTTCATAAAATGAATTTCACCATTAATTGTTGGCAGCAATAACATCTAGAATATGTTATTGTATTTGACTGACTCTTCTCCCTTTTTCTGTGTAGCTAGGATGCCTGTCTGACATCAGAGATCTTTTATCAGTGCTGATGATAAATCCAAGCAGCAAACTGCAGTCAGCAAAACTGTCTGATAGGGAATAGGATGCACAAAACTCAAGCTAGTAGTGAACTTTGTTCACCAAAGAAAGTGAGACTTCTCTTGCTTATTTTCACATTTTCATTTGCTTTTGCAACACATCCAGTTCTCAAGTTGGAAAAAGACACAAGTAAAGGAAATAGACACATAATACACACTTAAAGGCAAAGCACTGACAGTTTTTCTACAGGTTCCTATCACCACATTCTTATATATGTTTTAATATGACTCTAAAAATTGAAAAATAAGAAAACAATAGTAGCATGCATCTAAAGAATAAAGGTACTTTCAAGGAAAGGCTCTTTTAGCTTCCTCTTTCTGTACTAGTCAATCACAACCCAAACTACTCAAAAGTTTCCATTTTCCTCCCAAAATTAACTTTCTCACAAGAGTCTTTACAAAACAGAGGGGGGAAAAATCATGAGCAGACTTTGGCAATACGACAGTCAAGATGTGAGCAGGAATCTTTCTAAAAAGCAGTTTTTCATCCATGTGCATATCGTTATATGATGGACATAATCTAAACAGCAAAGTTACATCACAGAGAATTTACAAACTGTAGATCAATACATATGCAGTTCTTTTTTCATACTGTCTGTAATGTTTAAGAAAGTGCATACTAAAAATGTAGTCTAATGCATTAGAGACAGTTTATTCTAAAACAGTTTCAGACAAAACAATTCTTACTGACTTTACTGGCAATATTAATAAAGTTCTATGAATTTTATCAGATTCTGCTCAGCAAGAAGTAGCTTGCCTGCTTGAGCAAACATTTCATGCAGTCTCTGTGGCTAGATCGTGCTAGTGCTGCTTCCCCAAAGAGAGGGAGAACAGTAAGATCTATGGAAGAAAACACTATGGATTTGGAAGTGTAATGAGATCTAGGCAAGATTGATCCACAGACTGGAAGTGCCCCGAAGTCTCACATTTGAAATACCATATGTTGGAAATATAAACATATTCCCACTGAAAAAGAAAAAAAAGTATAAGATGGGAAGGAGAGAAGGAATGGGAGGAAGCAAGGGAAGGAAAGGAAAGAGGAAAGGGAAAGAGAGGGAAGTGGAAGTGAGGGGGGAGAGGGAGAGAGAAGCAGCACAGCACACAGCATGCCCATTTGCATGGCTGCAGCTAGACAGTCAGAAAACTCTGGTTTTATTCAGTAAGCCAGATTTGACATAACCTGATTAAAAGTATTTCTGTATGACATTCCATTAAAACAACAAACTCAATATTAAAAAAAGAAAAAAAAAAACACACTGACTGCACATACGCACATACAGCCACAGGTCATTGTCCGTCACCAAAAACTGTTTTCAGTACAAGGGAGTACACAGGCACACACCAGGCTGTTGCTCTGCTCGATCCTTGTTATGCAGAGATGCTGGTTAAGGAAACCACCAGTCCAGAATTTCCCTAGTTTGTCCTGCAGTAAGTTTCAACTACTGAGAGATACACAAAGTTAATCTGTTAATGTGTTAATTTGTGTGACTTCTGCTGCTCTTGTAGCATGTTCAAATATTTTGAAGATGCCTGAATTTGTAAAATCGGGACTTAGAAAGTTGGGGGTACAATCTCTTTACGACAGCAGCTGTGCCATTTGAATTGTCAAATGGCCTTGGCCATTTTCCAGGATGCCATTCTTAGAGTGGCAT